TTCTCGTGCTTGTAGCCCATTTTTTGCTCTCTGTTTTTATTTCTAATAATTTAGACTCTTTAATTTTCCATGTTTTTTCTCAACCTTCCAATAATTTTGTTTTTGTCTCGTGGTTAGAATCTTTCCCTTCCTCGCTAAATTAGCAGCTTGGAACCCAGACGAAGACTAAACTGATAGTTCTTTCTTTCTATTCCCACCATAGGAACAATACGTCCCTAATGAGGGATCGACATAGAATAGAAACTTTCTGAAAAATGTTATTTTAGGCTTTTGTCTGGTTCATAAACCAATCCAAAAGGTGCCATTTTGTTCTTGGGTAGTCTAAAACATAATATACAATTCGAAATTTTTGACTCTTTGAACAAAAGTAATATCTCGCAAAAATACAAAACTTTTCTATCTTTGTTAGCAAGCAAGAAAAAGCTAATAATCAGAGCCAAGTGAGAAGTTGAAATTGACCTAAACCTATTACAGAATAAAGGTGAATTTGATCGCTATTTAAATAGAGGAATCGAATAAATAAATATTTGTGACATCGTTTAAATATGGCAGCTGTTGAGGCAGGGGTGAATGGTAGCGCATACGTTAGGTTGCTAAGGTACACAACATAGCTAAGGCCCAGCCTGGATTGGTGCAGTCCTATCCGGTTCTTGTGTAATTTGTCTCCCTTGTGTTGGTGTCTCTTAACGAGAGCTGTGTACTCTCTTGTGTACTGGGGCCTCGTTAGAGTTCGAGTTAGTCGTTGCGCGCCGCTGTTCCCGAGTACTGGTAAGTCTGTCGCGACGGAACGCTAACACTTCCAGATCCATTATATCTATTACATTTTCTTTTTGTATGATTTTTTTTTGTTTTATTCAATATTAACGTAATATTTTGTATAATTTTAGTATAAACTTCATGAATAGCCTCATCTCATGGTGACCTAAAACTTTTATTACTATATTTTATAAAAATTCTCGTAATTGAGGCGTTTTCAATCTTGAAATAGGCAAACTTTGTCTATTTGATTAGATACTAAAAGCTAATTAACACCTATTTACTTTCTACTTGAATCGTAAGATAATGTGATCAAAAACCCTAGAAAAAGCCAGCCTACAAAAATATTTGGCCATTTGGCGTGAGTTTCACTTCAACGTGTAAAAATAACGAGGTTATACGGGCCAAACGGTCCAATATTTTTTCAGCAACCTTTTTTTTTTCGATTTTGTGATCAAATTCTCTTGCTATTCATGTGGAAAGTAAATGGGTTTTATGATTTTTTAGAACCTTATTTTAGCACGACCTTTTGCACTAACAGTAGCTATAAATATATATTTTTTTTTTTTCTTCTTCTTTTAGCGTTGTGATAATTTTATATATACTATTTTTAAAGGCAATAAAATTTCGTACAAAACAAAAAAAAAATCGATTTCCTACTGCTCTAGGTGAGGAAAGTATTATAATCGGAATCAATTTTCGGTGTGTTTCAAAGGATCTTTTTTTTTTTTTTTTATCGAGAGAAAGAAAAAATACATTTTGTCTCAATTAAGGGCATTGAGTATTTATGATGAATGAAGTACAATCATACCATATATACAATAAAAGAACAACAAGATTATAGAAAATAAAATAAAATAAAACTTGGAGTAACAGAATAAATCAAACTGATATAACATTAAATAAAAACTAAAAAAAAAAAATAAATAAAAAAATAATAAATAAAAACACATTCAAACTTATTTACAATATTTACAGTCAGCCGAGGGAGCTCCGAGTCGAGCCTTTTCCCCCACGTGTGGAGGACAAGGCAAGACTCCAAGAGATCCCAGCGCTTCTCTCTCAGCCGCATCACTAGGATGGGAATCCAGTGGAGACTGAGAGAGGGCACTAAAGCCACATAACAAAGGATCTTTAAGATTACAACCTATGGTTGTTAAATTTTCTATAAAACCTAAAAACAATCATCCAAACTGGACCAGTATTAGCGAAGTTACACTTTATTCAGTTGTATAGGCTTATTTTTAATGCCGAGTTTTTTGTGAGAAACTTGGGTGAATGGGGTCACCAGATATTTTAAAATAATTTAGTTTTTCTTTAAATGAAAATTTATAATAAAATTTTACAGGTACAATTTGTTTTTCATCCGTTTTATGATTTCGACACCACTTCTCAACGTCTATTGCCAAGCAAAACCAAAATAATTTAAATCATATTTCCTTGCTGCCCACTGCGTTTTCGCAAATGATATAAAATAACATAAATAATGATTTTAGGGCAGGCATCCCTTCATTAAATCAAACCTTTATCGAATCCTTTAGTCATAGTAGGCAAAAAATAAAAAATTGAGACAATTGTGACTTTTTTCGAAATTTGTAAAAACGAACGCTTGTTTTCTCTTATTAAAAAAATATTCGGCACTCTATTTCGTGTTCAAGTTTTCTCCCAATTACATTTAAACTGAGAGTAAGTGAAATCTCATGTTGCTGAAAACCATAATTTCCATAGTGCAGCTCAAAAATAAAGAGTCGAGGTTAATATCAAATCGATCTTGATCCATGGATTATGGATGTTCAAGGTCAACAGGCTGTCTATATATATATATTCTCTGAAACAGTCCATCGATAGATCAAATTCCTATGTTGTCACTTTGTATGTTACATTTCACTTTATTTGTATTTATTACTGTCTCCGACATAATTCGATAAAGGACATTAAGTAAGGGTTTGCTCTTTATATAAGTATTATTACTTTATTACTTCTGGGACCAATTAGATTGATTAAAAGATAGCGATGATGGGATGTAACCTTGACAGCCATTGGCCTGAGATTGCTGAACGTAACAATAGAATAACCGTATTATCGCGGCTGGGCTACGAACGTCAGCCATTTGTCGTCACTGATGTTTAATTCAGGTTGTTTATTAGCGCTGTTTGCCTGATTAATATTTATCTTTTATTTACTAAGAGAATTATACTACCTAATGTTGCAACCCGTCATTATTTTCACTGACTACGCCAGATTTTACTATCATTTAAAAATATATATATATACATATATAAAGGTAAAATATATATTCATATATATTTAACTTATAAAATGTATCAAAATAATACTAGTCCTATTTTTTGTCAAAAAAAGTAGGGCTTATAAAAACAACTGTTTTGATTTCGCAGAGGGAAAATTCATTGGATACTCAATGTTGCCAATAAACTGATGATATATATTTCAGTTGGAAGCTAAAATCAAACTTAAAATTATATTTTTTTTAAATATTTGATTTTAATACAGGATTATTTCCTAATTATTTGCTAATGATTGTATTTTATTATTTGTAATATTACCATTATAATTATATTGAATTGTATTGTTTTATTAATGTTTAATAATTCCATTTACTGGTTTCCTTTTTATTCTCGTCATAATATAAACAAAATAGGATGATAAATAACAAATATGTAAGTTTTTTTTTTTTAAAAACATTAGATGTTCTGAGACAGAGATCACTAAATTGAATTATTTAACAAATAGCTTTTTAAGAAGATGATTAAGGAAGTATTTCGATACGTTTTTGTTTATATATTATTTTTTAATATGTTAACACAAAATTTTAAAATCGTGAGATTTATAAAAGTACATTTTTGGCCAAAACGCCCCTTTCAAAAAATCGTCATTGTTTTAAAAATTTTAACTTAAGCCAATTAATTTTAATCCCAAAAATGAGAAAGAACAAACATTGCCATTAAAACAAAAACGAAAGAGAACGAATTATAATATATATACACATTCACACACACAGTATTTTGTTTTATATGTTTATAAAATTAGTAAAATTTAAGTAAAATTATTTGTTTATATATCCTGCAGGATTTAATAAACTTGGACTATTGGAAATAAATAGTGACGTGTTACAATATTTATGTTTTTCAAATTTTCATCCCTTGATTTCGAAAATTTGAAGCGATATAAAAATATATATTGAAGACTATATAAATATAAAGTTGGTTATAATAAAATTCTGTTAATTAAAAAAAAGTAATAAAATTTTTATTTAAATAAAAATAATGTATTTCATATTTATATATTTTATTCTGAAATCAATCTAAATCTCCATAATATTTTAAGAATAAAATTATTTTTATTTATCGATAATAAACATCAAGGTGTAATATTAGGATTTATGAAAAAATAATGAAATTTTGAATTCTTGTTATTTGTTTGCCCCTAGTCGACTTCAATTTTTAATGCGAGACTCTTGTCAAAGATTTTTAGGCAGAAAAAAGATACATCAAAATCAATGTTGGTAGCTGTGTCCAGTATATGTCAGGAAAAAAAATGTTTATTTATATTAAGTAACATAGAAATCCCATTCCCAATAATTAGGTATATATCGTTGCTACTTCACCCTGTCAGCGCAACCAATGTAACTTAGCTTTTTACATTTTATCCTTTTCCTTGAATTTAAATAAATTTAAATTATTTAAACTAATAATTATTTAAAATTTAATTCAATAGGAAATGGTGATTTATAGTCTAAATGGAAGAGAGAAGGGTAATGGTATAAAATATATTTAAGTAAAAACTTTAAACTTTTAATGAAAAATATGTGGATCCCTTCAATAGATTTTCCTCGTCTTTTGAAATGATAGAAGTGAACTAAAAACTGATATACATTATCCGGCTTCATCTGACATTAAACATGTTTTATATTATTTCTTCCGTGAGGAAGAAAGTTTTTAGTAATTAAATTTCCTGAACAATATATATTATTTTACTAGTTTATATCCAAGGTTCAAAAGTTAGATCAATTATAACTTTATATGTCAATTTCCAGAAATAATTAATTTTTATCGGATATTAGTCCATTACTTTTCGCGTTCAGCAGTTACAAACTAGCTTTATTCTCACATAATTAATGACTAATTTATTTATTTTTTATTACACACTTAAAATAAATTATATTAATTTATATTTTTAATGGCATAATTATAATACATAATATTAATTTATATTTTGTGTTGCAGAGAACGTTGGCTCCTACCGGGGCGTGGAGATAACTCCACAGTATCAAGTACTTCCTTCTAAAGGTTCGTCTCATTTTATATTATTTTTTTACTGTGTAAAACATTAATATTATGTTTAAAGTTTAACGTATTTTACTTAATTAATTGTCATTGACATATTTCAATGTATACACTCTTCTAATAATTATTTACCCAATATTTTGTCTCACTCCCTCAGTCCAATTCATTTCATCAATTCTGCCCTACATTTTAGTCAGCAATGGTATTTGCAGCATTGGAATTTTATCTGCTTAACAACCCCTTGCTGCATTTAAAACATTTGCATTTTCTCTTTCTATGCACACATCTTGTTCTTATTTTTATTTATTTATTTTATTATTATTTTCACTTAGTTCAGTCCCTGTCCCATTCTTCTGACTTTACCTCATTCATGCGGTAAAATTTATGATTACTGTAAAATAATTGTTTTGCCCGAATCTAAATAGTCTATTAAAATTTTGCTATTGAACCTAAATAGTCCCAAATTACTTATTGGCTTATATCCTTATTGTTGAACTTTTAATTTCACCATTTCTGATTTACATGATGAGGAAATGCAGTAAACGTGAGGAATGTTGTCGATTTTTTTTTCCAGGAAGTCGACCTTGCTTAAGTCAACCTTTATATCTAATACTATCTTCTATCAGCTATTTTTTTAAATAAGCAATAATAGCTTCTTTTTACACAGGGTACTTCGAAGTATTTGAAACTACATTAATATTTGTATCAATGTTACCAGAAGGTTAATTTGACTGCTTATGGAATCCATTTTCGATCTAATCAAAACAGAAAAGTTTTAACTTTTAAATTAAGGATGAAGAACCAAAGCAAAAGCGTGTTTTTTTGTTTTTAATTTTGATTTTCTGAAGTAGACTAAAATTGAATTAATTAAAACTTAAATCTATAAAATATATTTATAGAATATAAATAAAACATAAGAAATAATGCACTAAATGGCTAAATATATATATGAAAAAAAGAAATAATTATGGAAAAGCAACATTAATTATTAATCATATCTAGAATAATTCTGAATGATTGTCTTACGTATCTTGTTTAAGGCAGCTTCTCTAAAACATATTTATACTAAATCATTGTTCAATTTTTTTCGAAAGTTTTAATAGCTCTTTCGCAAGTAAGTATTAAACATCCGATTTAGGACCCCTAGTAATTTTCAAATATGTTAAGAATTATAAAACTCGCTAAAAATTTTTGTTTCCCTGTACTATTACAACAGTAACTTCTGAATATTATCATTTGATTAAGAGTTTCATCGAAAACATCTAAATGAATATATGGAGTAATTTAAGTTGACACAGAATTAACGTATTATTTCTTAAAAATGACCGCGATATGGGCATATGAAATCTATTATCTACCACCATTTAATACCTAATGGCCGATGGTAATTTCGAGTTCCGCGGTCATCCTAGAGTGAATTTTATGTAACATCTCAAAAAAAAAAAGAAAACATAGCCACGAAAGTTCGATTTTTTTAAACGTTCAAATTTTCAAGCTAGAGGAATTCTTTGTTGGTCGATTGCAAAGGTTCACGACTGAAGGTCATGTACCAAGAAGCTGTTTAAATTGATAAATATATATTTGAAGGGACATAATCACAGCTCATTAAATTAATTAAATAGTTACGAGCTGTAATAAATAAACAATAATAAAAATAAAATACCAAATAAGTCAACATTAATCGAATTTTGTTTGCCTGTTAATTTTATGAAGCAAGAAGAACTATTTTGCCATTTTATGTAAATTCTTTCAAATGATGAAAAATAAATTTGTTCTTTTGAAATTATTTTTTTATAATTTAGATAATTAGCTGTGAAAAATTGTTATTTATATAATGTCTTCCGAAATAAGATTGCTTTGATAAACATTTAACTGGAAATTTTGTTCTTGTTTTTTTTTGTAATGTACTTATTTATTCAGATATTGATTTTATTTTTTGTGTATACACCTAAGTCCCCTGACTTAATAACTTGATAATACAGAGGTTTCAGAAATTATATTATTGAGTGAGGAGAAAAAAAAAGATGTCTTGACACTAAAATTTAGAATAGTTTTGTAATAGCGTGGCTCATTTAATCAATGTTTTTGTAAACAAGAATCTGTGTCAAGTACTCTTAGCATTTTTGTAAATATTTCCAACATTTTCCGCCCACTCTCAATCATAATAAACTGCGTTAAACATTATCAGTTTTTATTTTATATGTATAAGTATATTTTACAATATAATCTATAATATATAATAGATTGACTAGTACAACAAAGCTGAGAGAGAGAGAGTAGCCATGACGGTCGCAGTCTAAAAATAGCTTAGAGATAATTCTGAGAGTTTATCTGCTGGTCCTTCAATGTGTTCCACATCCTTCGCAATAAACTCCACTCAGACTAATATATACAAATCTCCTTCGATGACAATAATATCTAGGCACCAATGGCAGCACCTCGCGATAAAAATAGAGCAACATTTATAACCTTTTAATTTCATTTAATCTCTCTATTGGATAAAAAAGTTTTTAGTGACTGTCATATTTTATTTTCTCATCTCAAAAAAACAAATTGGTATTCTCTCTATTATACAAAAACGGTTTTAGGGATCGTGTAATATTTTCTTTTGTAATCTTAACAAATTACTATGGAAATTTCTAATCCTACATAAATTTTAAAATTTAATGATTTATAAAACAACTAAAGAGCTTATCCCCTTTAATTTTAAAATACCTATATACAAATAAAATAAATTGATCAGTTGGAGTTAGGTATTAATGAATTATATTCATTTATTAAGAAACCAGATAATTAAAAATGAATAGCATATAACATCTATTATACATTTATTAACAATTATATAACATTGAATAACAATATATAATAAATCTTCTAAATTCGGGAAAACTATAGATAAATAGTAAATATTTGATAAACCCTGATACAAAAGGTACAAAAAATAAATTCTACTATAAATCCCTATAATATTTAACCTTCACAGTTAAATAAACTATTAATATTAATATAATTATTTCTTTTAAAAATACTAAAAAAAAAGTTATCTCTATTAAAAATTTATAGTTATAAAAATTAATTAAATTAAAAAAATCAAGCATCAAATCTATTTGAATTGCACAAATAAGTTTTTAATGTAAATAAAAACTAATCCTAGATTATGACTTGTATAAATCTAACCCCAACTTCCGAATGCTGAGATAAAGATTTGAATTTTTTTCCCGCTGACACTACTTGTATATGTAATTATTGAAAAATAAAATGGAGGATCAGTAAAAATACAAAAATAAAACTCTGCTGACACTATATTAAAATAATACAATATGAACTAAAAAATTCATGTAATTTATAGTTCTACAATTTGAGCAAAGAGTATTACTACGAGTATTAAATGAAGACCTGTATAATTTGTAAAACGGGGGTTGGTCCGCCGTCAGGTGGATAGAAGCTACCCCTCGGTAATTGAAAGAGATGAAATGGAAAACTATACTGTTTTTAAACATAGTTCTTCGTCATTAATTGTTTACTTGAAGTAATCAACAATTGTTTTAGTAACATTAAAACGTTTTCTTTAGTTGGTTAGGCGTTGCAGTCAGTAAAGTACACAAACAATTTTTATTCTCTTTATTCCCACGTTTTAGGATTTAGCAAAGACAAGATAACTACGTTGTGATAATAATAAAGAGAAAAAACCTTATCAAAATTAAAAAGATACAGATCACATGAAAAATAGTACGTATATCACAACAAACAGGAGAACAAAACTTGAGTTTTGTAAGATAAGTTAAAATAAATACGTACTGCATATAACGGCAAGTGGTATGAATATATAGTCGACTCTCGATTATCCGAACCATTCCATAAACTGAACGATATTTTTTTTTTTAAGATTTAATTTTATGTTTGCAGTACATATGTACATACATCCATTGAATAAAACCATATCAACACCATGTGTGCTGAGCCTTAAATAATCTAGTTCAAAATACCTACTCATTGTATTTAAAATAAAATCCAAGCTATGTATCTATTATAATTTACAGGGAAATTTATTTTCTCGATTTCTTTATCGTCAGATATAATTAATCTTTTCATAGTTTAAAATAATCATAAAATAGTTTAAAAATAAATGTCTGAATAATGATTAATTATTGTAAAATTGTTTTTATATATATGCATTTATAATTTTTGTTTTTAAATTGATTTGTTACTTATCAAGTAATTTTTTTTCTCGTTTGGTAATCCGAATTTTCCGCTCATCCGAACCCTCTTGGGGATTCTGACTATTCAGATTAGTCGTTTGATAATGTATAAAAATAATCAATAAGTTAAACTAGAGGAAGTAAGTAGTTAACCAATAATTAGATAAGTTTATGTAAAAATAATTAGACTAGTATATGTAAGTAGTTGGACATAACATTAAATAGTAACGAATGGAAAATATATGGTATATAAACAACTAATGGTGACAACTTAATGGAATATTAATAAAACGATAGATTAAATTGTTAAAAAAATACAAAAATAACATAATATTAATAAAATATAAATTAGTTTTCTTTTTTAGAAATTTTCATTTGAAAAAGTATGTTTTGTATTCCCCTGATGAATCATGTGAGTTATTTTGAGGTCACAATCTTTTGAATTTTGTCATCCACGGGTTATCTCGTCATTCCTCTTTTTAAATATTAATTAAGATGGAATTTGAACATTTCAAAATTATAGCGATAAATCTCTCAAATAGGAATAATCATCTAATTAGTCGCACTTCTCCGCAGTGCAAAGACCGAATTTATTACAAAATAATTCAAATTTTGAATATTTTATATTTACATGAGAATAGTTTATATGAAAACTAGACTATATAGTGGACATTGAACCCGAAATATTAATCTCGATTGTTTACACTAAGAATTCAACAAGATAAGTCAAAAGTAAACGAAAAATCCTTTACCTTAATATTTTTTACCTTAAAATTTTCTACAAAAAAAAGTGTTCTGGAAATATGTAATTAGGAGTCGCTCAAAGTATGTAACTATTAAAACAAAAAAATAAAAAATATTGATTGTTAATTTACGTAATTTAGGTTATTTTATTTTTTTATTGTATATAGTTTTTATTTATTATTTACTTATTATTTTACTTTTGTTTATTTATTTATTTTTTAGTATGTTCGGTGTGAATGTGTTCATTTATCAATATGATTATTGTCCCCGTGACAGAATATTATATGTCTAAATAAATAAAAAAAAATTTACCTGAATTATAGTAATAAATGTTTTTAAACGAGGTACGAAATGGTTGTATACAATTCGTATGTATTGTCGTAGACATATTATTTTTTAAAAAATAAAAGAACTATATATAATCCTAATATTTAAGCCTGCTTAAATTATCATATCGATTACTTATTGAAATATTAAAATGATATGGCTTATATATTTGTAATATTGTCCCATTTTTTTTTTTTTTTTTTTTTAATAGAATCTTCAGCACTTATTTATTCATAAATGTTTTATGTTGAAATATAACTTTTTCTTTTTACCTGTACCATATAACTTCATTCATCTGTGAAAATTTCACTAAAATTCTAATTTGATTTTTTTTTTGTTGCCTAAACTTGAGATTTGTCTATTTTGCATCGTAACGAAACGTTAATTACTGTTATTGTTGGAATAAGATCTACATTCTTTAAATTTTTCTTTATAAATTTAATTTTATGTTTATTGCAACATGGTTCTGAAACTTTATTCTCTCCATTTGTTCAATTAAAATTTCTGAAGTAAATTTTTATTGATTAATTCTTTGCGCATTATGAAAACTCAAATATAATAAAATAAAATGATTAATAATCGAATTCGCTTACACCTTTTTAAAGATTATAATTGCAATTAAAACAGGATTATATATTACTGTAAAAAAATATAAAAACCAATAAATCTCATTTAGTTTAAAATGTTATATATAACATCATTTTATTCTAAAATGTCACAGAGATTTTTTTGTTGATTTTTTAATGTTGACCTTATAAATCTAAGTAACTTTACTTTGATTTGATTACAGATATGCGAATACCGAATCAATGTTTTCCTTGTTTTAAAAAGCGCGCAAAAATTTTCGCTTCGGATGACAATTTTTTTTTAATTTAAACTCAACTTAATTCGTTGTTCGTAAGAAGCAAAATTTGAACAAGTTCCTGTGGCAATATGTCTTTGTATCAGAATAAAATAAATACAAAACGGTGGTCCAAGGACATTATCAGAAAAAAATATGCCCTAATCCTTGTTTTTAGGTGGTTTTTTTTTTCTCTCTCTCTCTCTCTAATTTAGTTTATCGTAATGTTAAGAAAAATATATTAAGTTTTATAACTGAGCACAACGAAGTTTAGATCTTTTCTTTATTATTAACTGTTTTATAAACTATAGATAGCTTTGCTTTCCTAAGGAATGGTCCAAAGAAGTGAGGTTGAACTGTTCCTTATTTTAGAACCCCTTATTTAAACAAAATAATAATCCGTAATTTTATTTAAGAATATATATATATATATATATATATATATATATATATATATATATATATATACATATATATATATATATATACATATATATATAGTAATAACTGATTAGATAACGTTATAAAATTTACATTACTTTTTGTCATGGTTACAGAGATGACGGGAGAGTCGCCGGTGACAAGCCCGGCGCTCGCCCGCCGCAGCGATCTTAATGGCCACGAAGCTGCGGCCTTCCACGAGCAGATTTTGCAGGTATTTATAGTTTACGTATTTATATTATTATTATATTTAGAGATAATTTTATATATTATGTATAATTTATCTGGAATGAATTATTTAATAAAAAATATTAACTTAGCAACAATCTTATGTAGTATATGAAATCAGGTGTGTGCATTTTTCCGAGGTTTATATTTGTGAAACGTGCCAAATATTTTATTAAAATTTCCCAAGTATTTAAACATGGATTTGATTTCGATTACGTTCGAGTGTTACAGAAAGAAAAGAATAGTTCTAAAAGAAAGATATTTGAGGTACTGTACAAAATTTTGATGATACTATTAATTAATAGCATAAATTTGAATAACTTTTATTCTGTAACCTAGAACGTCTTGGATAAATCTAATAAATGTAACTGTTTTTTTTTTAACTTTGTGTTATCAGCTGGTTTTTGACAATAATCTTCCTTCGGTGTACATTTTCATTTCTGTTGTTATCTTTTTAACTTATTACGAGTCTCCCACAGGCAGATTCCAATAAGGCCAATATACCGTAAATTTTAAACAAGCCATGGTTTTTCGGATTAAACATACCAAAATATGTAATTAAAAAATTTGCTAGAATTCGAACAAATCATGGGCTATGCAAAGTATACCTACAGCGCATTGGAGTTAAAAATTCATATAAATGTAATTTCAGATTAATCAATAAAATTGAGATTGGTTGGATTTTTCCAGTTATAACTTGACATTGATTTAAATGAATTCGAATCCACCCTTAATAGTGAATTTAACATCTATTAGTCCACCAGCTTGAAAAAAAATATCTTCCTTTACCCAAATATGAACATAAATGAGTTTAATGTAACTAAAATGTAATATTATTGATTCCTGATCAGATGTATCTAAAATGAATTAATTTTCACTCCGAATGTCTTTCAATGGTACTAAATTTGTCAGTAATTTATCTTACTTTGATTGTATGTAATGTAAGAAAATAAATATTAGTTATTACATTTTATTACATGTATATTTTTTCACTGCTTCAAATCTGTTTCTGTAAGTGATCTCAAGTAAATACTTAAACAATCACAATATTTATTCTTTTTAAATTATTGTTTAAATATGTATATATATATATATATTGTTTAAATAAATATCACTAAAAATCATTGTTATTACTGCAATTAATAACATTTTCGTCATGCGAACGAATATGTCGACAAATTCGTCATTTGTATATTACTTAAAATAATTTATTTTAGCTCTTTTAATTCTAAATTGAGCTAGGTACTCTACCACTATAACTAACCTCTAGTGTTACCCAAAATCGGTCTTGGTCTTACCCAAGACCAAGGCCGCCTAACTGTTACAAGACCAAGACCAGAACTAATAATAAAAATCGATTTTTTAAATAAAAATTAAGGCAAAATAGTTACTAGTACTTGACAATCTTAGTTACTATATTTAAATAATTGATATAACCAATATACTTTTACCTCCTCTTATTTATCATTCGGGCTTAGTTAGGGGCTTTTATATAAACAATTACAATAATATCTCTATAGTAATAAGCTAATAAGTTACTGCGAGAATCTTGCGCAAGACCAAGACTGAGTTTGCAAGACCAAGACTCGTCTCGGTCTCGCATTTGGGGAATACTAATATTTTTGAATGTAATATTAATCAATGAAGAAATACTTTAATTCTAAATTAGTTAAATTCTAATTTTTACCAGAGATAAATTTTACCACCAGACAAATTATAAAAAATTACTGGACAATTATGTGTGAAGTATCATTTTTTTTTTCTTTAATGCCTTCAAGGACTACTTAAACAATATTTTACAGAGTTTCTTTCTTTTTCGTCCAGAGTAATTACAACAACAATGCTCCCAAATAAACTTTCTTCTTTTTTTTTTTTTTATCACGGACCACAGATCAGTAACGGATCCAGGATTCAATATGGAGGGGGGAAGCTATTTTTGCTTTTAATTATCATTAGTTTTGTTATTATTATACAGTAATTACTATGGAGGGAGCAGGGTAGATCCAATGGTAAGGCACTGACTTCTGTGGATCGATCCTGGTTTCTCTTAATTACAAATCATTGGTTAAGTGGAAAATTCTGGTGATCTCGACCCAGTCATTTTTCAGCACAACCGTTGTCCCTTAAACACCATTTCTGATAAAATAAAATGGAATAGCTCCTTTCGACAAATGCAAAACGTATCCACTTCCACTATGAAATAACAACGTATAAATAAGTTCTAAATTAATGTGTCATTATATTTCGCCATAATTAAACTAATGAACCCACTGCGAAATTCAGATGGCTACGCCACACGCATTGCGTGACATACACCCGGAGTGTATAATTGAAGTATTATCATCGTGACGATTGAAATGGGTGTGTAAGGTTGTTGCGCTGGCTAAGGAAGTAATCACTAAAATTACTATCAGATCTGCTGGTGTGTATTTTTGTTGTTAAGAAATTCCTTGTGTTTGATCCACGTGTGTCGGATATTGGTTGTTTCTGTCTTGATGGTGTCTGAGCTAGTGAGAAAAATTGACGGATTTATTGTTTACCTGTATTTTAGAGGATACATGTATTCGTGGATAGTCCGAGGTTTTTTTTTTTTTTTTTAATGGAATGTTTGTCGGTTATGAAGGATAATTTGTATTTTCCCTATCTTTACTCCTAGTCTAAACTTTATTGAAATCTTTACCAAATAAAATTAAATAGAATATACGTATATACGGGACGATGGTCTGGGAGCTGCTGTGTTGCAACATTGTTTCTCTGAAGGGTCGCGTTAGACGCATATTCTCATGCCACTTTCTTCAAATCCATTCTGATATATTCCTAGCCCGAAATAAACTATCTTATTTGTTTTGTTTTTTCATCATGAATCACAGATCAGTGGCGGATCCAGGATTCAATTTGAAGGGGGGGGGAGGCTTATTTGTTTTTAGTTTATTATTATTAGTTTTGTTATTATTATATACTAATTACTCTAGAGGAAGCGGGTTAACTCAGAGGGTAAATTATTCATTTATTGTTCTATGAAAATTATTAGTTTACTGTTGCTAGCTAAAATGTTTTGGATGATCACGACGTCTAGCTCTATGGATATAACCACTTCCACTCACAAGTTAATCGCCGCCGTGTTCATTGCGCCATGACCGACTTTTGGTCTCGCTATCTTTATTCGACGATTAGCATTCAAAAGAAGCAGCGGTGGCGATGACGCACACGGCAACCTGCCCCCGATGAATCCTCTATGAATGGTGAGCCGTGGTTTATCTAGGCCTTAGTCGCTAACTAATGGCCAAGTAATCGATAAAACACCGAATAAATATTGGGTAAATATCGATAGCCACACTGAACCGATCCGGTTTGGGTCTAGGATTCGTCCCCTAACGGTTCGCAACTAATTCATGTTTGCCCAGTATACAACGCACCTAGTCTAAAATAAATAGTTGCCATCCTTGTACTTGTTTATTGATAAACATAATTTAGATAGACATGTCTTGTAATTCGAATTCGCGGAGTTCCGTGGTTTGGCAAACATTAGTAATGAAGGCTCAAATATTCAAAACAGCTGTAACAGTCAAATATTTTCCCGAGTCGTGAATTATCATGAAATAAAAAGATAATAACTCATTAGTTCAGAAAAGAGAAAAGCATCTCAGCACATTTTGGTTTCTTGATAAGAGGCGTGCACATTTTAGATTGAAATTACAGTAGTTATTTTTCTGAATTCGTTTAATTATTATAAGAAACTTATATTTTTTTATTTTCGAACTGTCTACATTAAAGTAATTATTAAAATTTTTAGTGAATATTGACTCAATAAAACTTTTTTTTTTCTAAGCAAGGAGATGGTCCGGAGTGACGGACTGTCTTCAGTTCTGAGTGTAACTCCTTGCAGAACACACCTCGCTGAAGAAGACCTGCAAAATCGGATTGAAACGTTGGCTTTTAATAAAATAGTTTTGCCACTATTTAGCCTATTTATGACCGTCACCCCAGACAATCTCCTTCCTTGATAATACAAAGGTCAACTATTAAGTATTCAATATTTTTTTTCTAATTTTCGTCATCAGATATTTTTTATCCATTGTACTCTAATAAGTTTATATATGCTAATTCCATGTTTTTTAAATGAATTGTTGTACAAAAAGGCAAGAACTGACAAGAATATATAAACAGTCTCAAATATTCTGTACTACAGATCCTCTCTTAATTTAAGAAACAAGCGACTAATCTACAACACTATACTATGATCAATTTAGGCATACGTAGCAGAATTTTGGGGTTCAGCAAAACGACGATCTAAAATTCTTCGAAATATTGTTATTGAGGCTTGGTATATTTCAAAACACACTATACGCGACAAATACTACATTTCATTTCAACACAAAATTATCCCAATCCTTCGTTCAATCAATCTTCTCTTCTCTGTTACCTGATTGAGATTGTTTAAAAATAAAATGAGACCAGCTGCTTCTCCATCAAGTACATCAAGGTCAATATCAAGATAAATCAAGAAACTAAACAGTTGCATTAAATTTGTTCCGGGTACGCTACATCGCAGTTGTAATAAAAATTGCAATAAAATAAAAATAAAATTTTTATTTTTGTAGTGTTCCCAAAATTGTCTCTAGGCCTTTTATCAGAGAAGCATTGAAGTCGCACGGTTGTTCCATGAACTTCTCAGCTCTGCTTAAATATTCCACTTGAATACTTCACCTTGATCCTGGGTCGGTCAAGAGTAATCATTTTCATTGTTCAATTACTTCTTAGACAATCTATTTTCATTTTTGATTGGTACAAAACTCATCCTAGCTATTTATAGATTTAATTCGTTGTTTCAATTATCGTCACTGTATCATCTCAAAGAAGGTTGTTTTTACTAATGATGGAGATATTGTCGGCCGTGGAACTAATCGCAGAAATCGGTTGGAGGGCGTAGCCAGTTTCTTGCAACAAGTGGCACCTATTGGCACGCACTAGACGCGTGTCACGAAA